GTTTTATACCGTTCCAGTGCCTCTGAGTTGGAGATGAACTATATCGAGCGAGGAGGTTCACGGCGAAACATATGTCTGGTCTAGTGTGACTAGCCAGGTACATTAACGCTCCTACAGCACTGAGGTATGGCTTTTCAGGACCAAGGATTTCTTCATCATCCTTTTTGGGACCAAGAGGGTCATCACTTAAGCTTCTAACTACCATTGAGCTGGTCAATGGGTGAGCTTGGTCCATATTAAATCGCTTGAGTACCTTTTCGATATAAGCCGATTGATGCACAAGGATTCCTCCTTTGATGTACTCAAGTTGTAATCCCAAACAGTACTTTGTTTTGCCTAGGTCTTTCATTTCGAATTCTGCTTTTAAGCAGTCGACTGTTTGGGAGATCTCACCAGATGTTCCGAGGATGTTTAGATCATCCACGTATACTGCTATGATTACAAATCCTTTGTTTGAGTACTTCTTGATGAAGATGCATGGACTGATGGGGTCATTTTTGTAGCCTTCTTTGATGAGGTAATCGCTGAGGCGGTTGTACCACATACGCCCACTTTGTTTCAGTCCATACAAGGATTTGTTCAGCCTGATGCAGTATTGATCTCGAGATGCATTTTTGTCTTTTAGTTCAATGCCATCTGGGAGTCTCATATATATTTTGTTGTCCAAGGGCCCATAGAGATATGCGGTTACAACATCCATTAACCGCAGATCAAGATTTTCTCTTATGGCCAGACTTATGAGGAATCGGAATGTTGTTGCATCCACCACTGGATAATAAGTCTCCTCATAATCGATTCCGGGTCTCTGTGAGAATCCTTGTGCTACAAGCCGTGCTTTGTATCGAACGACTTCACCGAGTTCGTTCCTTTTGCGCACAAAGACCCATTTGTGGCCCACTGGCTTGATGTGTGATGGGGTCCGGATGATCGGACCGAACACGTTTCTGAGTTTGAGACTCTTTAACTCCACGTTTATGGCTTCTTTCCATTTTAGCCAATCTGTTCGATGTGTACACTGTGTTATTGACGTGGGTTCTAGATCCTCTTGCGTGAGCGCAACATCAAGTGCTACTTTGTATGCAAAGAGTGCATTTAAGTCGACTTCTTTTCGATTCCATTGTATTCCGGACATATTGTAATTGATGGAGATCTCATTGTTATCTTCTGAACCTGGAGATTCGGCGTCCCGAACTTCCATTGAGGGTTCATTAGATTGAGTCTCAGCCGCGGCTATGTCTGATATTGCAGGAATCCCGGTTTCGGTTATTGCACCTTTCTTTGATTTCCGGGGATTCTTATCTTTGGAACCGAGAGGTCTGCCCCGTTTGAGACGTGGTGCAGACTCTGTAGCAACTTGGGTCTGTCCCGTTGGGACAGCTATTCGTACTGGTGCATTACAAGCTGGGATGTACGATTTGGTTAATTTGGTCGGGTCAGCAAAGGAATCTGGCAATTGATTAGCTAGCTTTTGATAATGAATAATCTTTTGGATCTCTGAATCACATTCTAGAGTCCGAGGATCTTGCCAATTTAATGATGTTTGATTCCATGAAAGATCTTTGACCAGCTTGTTTGTCTCACCACCTAAAGAGGGATATACCGATTCATCGAATTGGCAATCCGCATATCTGGCCTTGAAGAGATCTCCAGTGGTTGGCTCGAGATATCTTATGATGGTGGGAGAGTCAAAATCAACATATATTCCCATCCTTCTTTGAGGTCCTATTTTGGTTCGATGTGGTGGAGCAATGGGTACATATACTGAACACCCAAATGTTTTGAGATGGGAGATGTCTGGCTCATGACCCGAGAGTAGTTGGGATGGGGAATATTTGTGTTCACTAGATGGCCGGATGCGTATGAGTTCAGCAGCATGTAATACTGCATGTCCCCATGCTGAGGCCGGGAGCTTTGATCTCATGAGTAATGGTCGGGCTATCCATTGAATGCGTTTAATGAATGATTCAGCCAATCCATTTTGAGTATGGACATGTGCTACAGGATGTTCCACGGTTACCCCCATGGCCATACAGTAGTCATTAAACGCTTGTGAGGTAAATTCACCAGCATTGTCAAGGCGGATAGTCTTTAGTGGGAAGTCAGGGAAATGGGCCCGCAATTTTATGATTTGGGCCAAGAACCTAGCGAAGGCTTGGTTCCGAGAGGACAAGAGACAAACATATGACCAACGGGTCGATGCGTCTATAAGGACCATGAAGTACCGGAATGGTCCGGAAGATGGATGTATAGGTCCACAGATATCGCCCTGGATTCTTTCTAGGAAATGAAGTGTTTGTTTAGAGATTTTAACTGGTGAAGGCCGAGTGATCAATTTGCCTTGAGAACAAGCTGTGCACATGAGGTGTTGAGGATAAGCTCGGTTTTCTTTGAGGGTATGCCCTTGAGAGTTTTGAATTAGTTTACGCATCATATTTGCACCGGGATGACCGAGCCGGTCGTGCCAAATAGTATAATCAGTAAACCGGGCTTTGAGAGTGGTATTAGCTTCAATCATACTGACTTTAGCATGGTAAAGTCCAGTAGAGAGCGCGGGTATGGTTTCGAGGATTTGTTTATGGCCGTCTACGGTTTTAGTGACTAGGAGGGATTCTTTGTTCCCTTGACCTTGGGTTTCTATGTGGAAACCATTCTGTCTTATATCCTTGAAGCTCAGAAGATTTCTCTTCGAACTAAGAGAATATAGAGCATCTGGTATTTCAAGTTGTGTGCCATTTGATAGCAACACATAGGCATGGCCATATCCTTCGATAAGGTTTGAGGGACCCGCGATGGTGCTAATATTTGCGGTTTGATAGGTTAGGTTTATGAAGTAACTTTTGTTTCTTAAGATAGTGTGGCTGGATCCACTATCTACGACTATGGTTTCCATTTGCTGGTGTGCTTTTCCACCTTTGGATTTCTGACAGGCTAATGAAACTGGGAGCTAATAGACCTCAGTTAGCCGCTACAAATTCCAAGGATTGATCACCAAAACTGGAGAAGCTGCTGGTTGAAGAAGGAAAAACTCGGATCTGGTTTTTTTTTTTTTTCAGTTGATCGTCTTGTACTGTAAGTGTGCGTGAGAGCGCGTCCGACGTTGGATCGACAAACGGTTTTCACCAGTAGATTCGTCTCGTCGAGGGCTTCGATTTGATATGTAGATCGTCTTCTGGTTCCTCACGGTTTGGAAGATACGCGTCTTTTAAGTTTCGACTTGCTTTTAGGGTTTTGGTGGTGGCCAGATTTATTAGGGTTTTTCGCTCAGAGAGTCTTATCGTGCTGATAACGTGTTGTGAAAACTTAGAAACTTTATTAATCACTGGAATGTATATATAGAGTACATAGGGAATCTAGGTTAAGTACAATGCCCTGATGGGCCTAATGGGCCGGTATAAGAGTCCATATATGATATGTGTTATAACAATTAGTTTATTAATATATTAATTTGTCGAATATTAATTTATAGAGGTTATATTGTATATGTATCACTTGAACACTTGCAAATACAATAGAAACTCTATAAACTAATAGTTGATAAATTAATAAACTCTATAAATTAATAAATTTTTCCGGTCCCAAGTTGGACCAGTTCAAAATTTAGTACAAATTGATAAGATAATAAGATAATAATTTTAACAAAATTCCTATGTAAATATATGGTCCCATTAATATTATATATTAATAATTACCATAATTAAAATTTAATATAAATATATAAGTGAGATAATTTACTAAATTATGAGTTTAGTGAAATTTTTTATTTATTTTAAATTTTAAATTTCTTGTAACTCATCTTTAATTTTAGAAAGAATGTTTTAAATAGTAAAATCTTTAAAAAATCTTTTTAAAATTAATAAAAAATAAATATTTTTATTAGAAATCTATGAATTAATAACACTATAAATTAATAAAACACCGAAGTACCAAAATTATTAATTTATAGAGTTTTTTACTGTAGTTCAACACTCAAAGATGTTGAACACAAATTTAGTGTGATTAATCAAATTTGCATGATAACTACATATATAGGAAGCTAGCTACTATATATCCACGTTAGATGTCTCTCTTGTAATCTTTTATTTACGAGTAGGATTTTCGAGAAGATTTGTCACACTAGATGGAACAGGCAAATATTTTTCTCAAGCGAGTTTTTGCAACGTTTTAAAGAAGATGTAGCTGAATAATGAGTATGCAGCAAATACTCATCTTTTTGAATTGGACCATCCAATAACCTGGTTTCACTATTATCGTAGAATAGACCAAATGAAGTATGGTCCAATATCCCAAATGGTCCACAACATTATTATCACGGGACACGTCTGAATACGTCTCTATTGCTATCTTATCATTTTCCGTTCTTTATCCTCAAACACATTAAATTAAAATTCGTATTTAGAGTCATGAATCGTCGTAATTTTGTTTTTATTACCGAGTGGTTAACATTAACCCAACCATTAACATTTAAATAATTTCTAATTTGAAATAGAGTCATCAAATACCTTATCTTTTTAGACGACTGATTCCTCAACTTCCTGTTAAATATGATAAACTAAATTCAAGTTCAACTACCCCAATAGCAAAAGAAAAAAAGAAAACATACACTATACCTTTTTACAAATAAAATTATATCATCACTTTCTACAGAATAAATTATTTTTTTAACTGTTTGTACAACATAAGTTATGCTCTGAATAAGAATAATTCTACAAGATTATAATAGTGACGAAATATGTAAAACAAATTTCAACTGATAATGTTACAGAATTACAAAATTCTATATAATGAAAAACATGTTTTTACCTACTAGGTAGATTCGGTAATAGAATGATCGGTTTCGTATCCATTTCCCAAGTTCAACTTTCACATAATTACCGGATGAGAATCATACTCTATTTATTCTGAACAAAAAAAAAACATAATATTTTTTTTTACTGTTATCCCTTAAAATAATAATATACACATCTGACGGAAAAGGAATCGGATTATATAATTTTAACGGCAGAAAATAGGAGAGGATGAGAGAGAAGGTATTTCTGGTTTGAATGAGATTAGTGAACGCCGCTTTTCTTCTGATATCCTCAACCAAACCTCCGTCTAGGGTTTACTCTTCTCCTTTCCGCCGCCCTTTTCTCTCTCAATTCCGCTTCTCTTCCTCTTCGTCGGCCTCTTCCGTCGCAGTCATGCCGGGTTCCGAACCATCGGAGATTCAGTGGCCAGCGAGGAGAGTCAGGGATACTTACTTCGATTTCTTCAAGGGGAAAGGTCACAAGTTCTGGCCATCAAGCCCCGTTGTTCCTCATAATGATCCCACGCTTCTCTTCGCTAACGCTGGTACGAAACTTCGATTGCCAAGTTTTTGATTTGTTTCCCTTTTCTCTGTTTTTTCTTTCTCACCCGACGAGATTAGGAATTTTCGCTTAGTTGGAATTCAGATTTTATTGACTTGGGTTGCATCGGATTCTAGCTGTGAAGCTCAGTGGAATGCTTTATTATTATGTCTTCTTCTTGTCTTTGAGCTTTGGCACTTATCCACTCTCAATTGTCATTTTTTTGATCGAAATTAATAAGAATTCATACACTGTTTCATATATCTTGTTATTGATTCGTAGCTGTGTAGATGAATAACAGAATGACATTGAAACTTGTCCGTTTTTCAAGGAATGAACCAGTATAAGCCAATATTTTTGGGAACGGCTGACCCAAATACTGAGCTCAGCAAGCTAACTCGGGCATGTAACACCCAGAAGTGTATCCGTGCTGGTGGGAAGCATAACGATCTCGACGATGTGGGCAAAGATACTTACCATCATACCTTCTTTGAAATGCTTGGTAATTGGTCATTTGGAGATTATTTCAAGAAAGAAGCCATCGAATGGGCTTGGGAGCTCTTGACCAAGGTAATTAGATTGTAAACTGATGTAACTCTTTTCATTAGGTTGTTTACTTCACTGAGATAACCTACTATTTCATAATTTGGTAAAGTTGTTCTTCTCTTTTCATTGGGCTGTATTTTTCATTGAGAGCTGATGAATAGACTTCCATGTTTTTCATGACTCAGGTCTATGGGCTACCGACTGATCGAATTTACGCTACCTATTTTGGCGGTGATGAGAAAGCTGGCCTTCAACCTGATAATGAGGCTAGAGATATATGGTTGAAGCTTCTTCCAGCTGGACGTGTGCTGCCCTTTGGTTGCAAAGTATGTTTGCTTCATTACTCCCGTAAAAATACTAACCGAATTAAAAGGAACAACATTTCATTTGAGCAGAGATAAATAACTAAACGGATTCAGGTGTTGCTTAATTGTTAGATCTATAAAAATGAAAATAAATGTCAATTGATTTCATGTGTATTGGAGATTAAAACATTTAATCCATTCCCTAATTTTTTTGAAAATCCACTACTTATTGTTTCTCTTTCTCCTAAGATTTCTTCCAAAATAAATCAGACGAGTTGCATTTGTATTGTTGCCAGTGCCTCTTGTATATATTGACACATCGTTTTGTCATTGCTTACTATATTCAACTATAAGCTTGACTGCATTTTGGCGTAGATATATGCTATCAAGTTTTGGTAGTTGGCAGGCCTACAAACCCACTGTTTATGATTTCCAGTCAAAAAACTTTTATCAAATGTAAAACTAAGGATTTTCTGATGCTACCGATTTTTCATTTGATCATTTAATGAAACTGCAGGACAACTTCTGGGAAATGGGAGACACGGGTCCTTGTGGACCTTGTACTGAGATACATTACGATCGTGTTGGTAACCGTGATGCTGCATCCTTAGTTAATAATGACGATCCAACATGTTTAGAAATATGGAATCTTGTGTTTATTCAGGTACAAGCCCTCTCCGTCCCAATTGTAGTTTAGTTCCATTTAGCTACTCTTTATCTGGGTATCACGGTTCTTTTAATGATTTTAGAGATCATGTAAAAGATACCCTATGTTACGCCTTTAGCTAGATTGTTCTTTAGCTTTGCTATTATATTCTTATATGTTTCCTCTAACGAACCCTGTGCCGTATGTTTTCAATTTAGTTCAACAGAGAAAGCGATGGCTCGCTAAAACCTCTGCCTGCTAAGCATGTTGATACCGGAATGGGTTTCGAGAGGTTGACTTCTGTTCTTCAGAACAAAATGAGCAACTATGATACAGATGTGTTCATGCCTATCTTTGATGACATCCAAAAGGTAATTTTGAAACCTCTTGTTGACTGTTTAATGACATTCTGTTAATATAATTAGTTACTATTGTGTGGCTTCTCTTAGGGTTGCTTCTGTCGCCTTATTTAGTACTATCATCATTTTAGTTTATTGATGTCAACTGGATTATGGGTCTTGGTAATTCTATGTCTTTGCCTATTTGATCTATGGGAGGTTACAGTTTTTCTTCTTTTAAGCGACACTGTCAGTTGATTTGAACAGTTTTGATTTAGTGAATTTGGAGTAATAGTGATCAAGGCATCATAGTATGAGTATCCTGGAGAACCATTTTTTTGTTCAGACTGGTCCTTTTCCCCAAGTATCTGTATATCTTAAGTTGAGGTGCTGATGCTTTCACATTTTTAGGCCACGGGAGCTAGGCCATATTCTGGAAAAGTTGGTTTGGAAGATGTTGACAGAGTTGATATGGCATATAGAGTTGTTGCTGATCATATTAGAACTCTATCATTTGCTATTGCGGATGGTTCTCGTCCTGGTATGACCATGGTTTCTTTTCTCATTTACATTGGTGATTATACAAAAAAAACATGTTTATGTAAACGTTTTAGTATTGGATCATTCATTTGAGATCAAACTTTACATGTTAATGTGAATTTTCTTGCTCACCAAGTCTATTACTGTATTCATGAAGAGGTTTTATTCTTTCTTGTAATTTAGCAATTACCATATCATATACACTATTGCAGGTAATGAAGGCCGTGAGTATGTTCTGCGACGTATTCTTCGTCGAGCGGTTCGCTATGGGAAGGAGATCCTAAAAGCTGAGGAAGGATTTTTCAACGGGTAGGAAATTACGTCGCTTTTGCTTCATTGTTATCTCTAATGGCTGGAAGTTTATATCTATCCTGTATCTTTGTAAATGCAGTGCTTAGCTTGGTCTGTATTTGTCACTGATCAGTTTATGCTTTTTAACCTGTAGACTCGTAAGTTCTGTTATACGTGTGATGGGCGATGTCTTTACGGAGTTGAAAGAGCATGAGAAAAAGATCACAGAGATTATAAAAGAAGAGGAAGCAAGCTTTTGCAAGACCTTGGCGAAGGTGAGGGCTAGATTTAAATTCCGACAAAACTTCCAACTTGTTAAATAATTATTTATACCTGGCTCTGCCGGCTCTTCACACTAATGATTTAGGGAAAAAAACGCTGCGTCAGTATCAGTGACATGTTTGCCCAATTACTTTATTTGTTATATAGGTGAGTATAAGAACAGTTTGACTGATTATAACGTTTCTTGGCAGGGAATTGAGAAGTTTCGGAAAGCTGGTCAGTCAGTTCAGGGGAATATACTGAGTGGAGAAGTACGTATCTAATGCTTTTTGCGTTATTTTATTTTTTTCATGCTATATGTTACAGTATTTGGAACGCTTCACAATGTTGTAATTGCCGTCTCAACGTACTGTTGTTGCGTTTGCAGGACGCTTTTCTCTTATGGGATACATTTGGTTTCCCTATAGACTTGACTCAGGTATTTAGGTCATTGTATTTAATTTTGAAATTTTGTGTTATTTTTAACTTTAATTCTCGCGTTTTAGTTAATGGCTGAAGAAAGAGGGTTGCTAGTTGATGTTGATGGTTTCAACAAAGCCATGAAAGAGGCGAAGGATAGATCAAAGAATGCCCAGAATAAGGTGTTCCGGCTTTTTTCTTTTATATTTCGTTTTTATTTTCTCAAAGTGTGTTTGATGTAGACTGTCATTAGAAGATAAACGAAGTTTGAAAGAACATTATATATAAATTAATCTGCTAATATTTCGTCAGCAAGCTGGTGCCGCCATTGTTATGGATGCCGATGCTACATCAACATTGCACAAGATGGGTGTTTCAGCAACAGATGATTCTTTCAAATACGTTTGGTTCCAGGTTTGTCTTATTAATTACAGATAACTCGCATGTTAATCCGTTATCATAAGTTCGGGCATAGGTTGGTTAATGGGTCCTGCTATGAATTAGCCTTGAATGCGCATTCACACTGCCAGATTTTGGTGCAGGGTCACGAGAGTGAAGTAAAGGGTATCTACACTGGCTCTGCTTTCCTTGAAAGTTCTGCCAGTGGCAATAATGTGGGACTAGTATTAGCGTCTACAAGTTTCTATGCTGAGCAGGGTGGTCAGGTAGTCCATTTTATTTCAAATCTTATAATTGATATCCATTTATGAACATACGAATGGTGCATGAAACCTGTGTCTTCATGATGTTCATCTTAATTATGTATACATGCAAACCTGACAGTAACACCATGAAACTATCATATCAGAAACTGCATCGTTTTGACTTCACGTATTGGTGGCAAAAGCCTTGATAGAGTTATTAGTGGTTCTTGTGTACTCATTTTCTGAAGCCTTTGGTTATAGTTCTGTAAATACTGTAAATTTCATATCCATAAATAACACCTAGTTTTTGATACACTTTCCATGATTTATCTGTATTTATGGAATCCGGTCCCCTAACATTTTGCTCTGGCAATAGATTTTTGACACAGGGCTTATAGAAGGTTCATTTGGTACATTCAACGTATGCAATGTCCAAATATTTGGGGGCTTTGTTCTTCATATTGGTCATCTCTCTACAGAAAATGGAGAGGTATCGGTGGGGGATAAAGTGACTTGCAAGGTAATTCTGAGCATTATGCGGTGTTTGTCTCATACTGCATATTTAGTACTATCTAAATTGTCTATATTGTTTTGTATGCGTGTAGGTTGACTATGAGAGACGTAAACTCATCGCTCCTAACCATACTTGTACACATATGTTGAATTTTGCCCTGAAGGTATCCTTTTGCTATAATATATGTTACCTAACCTGTAACTATTATTGTCTCTTAATGCATTTATGTCTCATGAATCCAGGAAGTGCTCGGGGATCATATTGATCAGAAGGGATCAATCGTTCTTCCTGAAAAATTGCGATTTGATTTCTCCCACGGTACATTCTTCACTGAGTCATTGTTAGATTCATGTGGATGATCATTTTGAGTGTCTAATAATGGGTTCCACAAACTTTGAGTAGGCAAACCGGTTGATCCTGAAGATTTGAGAAAGATCGAATCTATAGTGAATAAACAGATCAAGGATGAATTGGATGTATTTTCAAAGGAATCTGTACTTTCTGAAGCCAAGCGCATCAAAGGTCTAAGAGCAGTGTTTGGAGAAGTAAGCTGTCCATCAGTTCGTTTGCTATACCTTTTTTAGTTTTTTTTTCTTACAATTTGTGAAGGCTTGTTCTCTCTTCCATTTAGGTGTACCCTGATCCTGTCAGAGTGGTGTCCATTGGGAGACGGGTTGAGGACCTCTTGGCTGACCCTGAAAACGATGAATGGTCATCACTTTCATCTGAGTTTTGTGGAGGTCGGTTTCCACTGGAATTGGTCACTGGGGCCGAGAGAGATCCTTTTTTTTGAAAAGAATATTGAGTATTGAGATATTTTGAAAATTCCAGGAACCCACATAACAAACACACGCGAGGCCAAAGCGTTTGCTCTTCTATCAGAGGAGGGAATTGCTAAAGGTATTCGTAGGGTAACTGCTGTGACTACTGAATGTGCTTTTGATGCGTTGAATACGGCGTCATTGCTTGAAAAAGAAGCAGAGGATGCGTTCAAAGCGGAAGGAAGTGCACTGGAAAAGGTTCTCTCGCATCCCTTCACAAACTAAGACGACGTGTTAGCTCTTATTCATGTGAAACACTTAAGTGTTAGTTTTTGCACGTTCGCAGAAAGTTGCTACTTTGAAAAGGAGGGTAGACGAAGTAGATATCCCAGCAGCCAAAAAGGCAGATATCAAGGCCAAGATTGTTTTGCTTCAGGTAAGATTGCCATCTATTTTGTTTAGATTTTCACCTATTTCCTTATGATGACGAGAGGGAATATTGAACTGGTATTTTTTTATACTTCTTCTACATTGCAGAATGAAGTGAGAAAAGCTCAAAAGAAAATAGCCGAGCAAAACCTGAAGAAATCTGTCGAAGTAGCTACAGAGGCAGCTGAGTCTGCAGCATCAGATGGGAAGATGTTCTGCATTGTCCAGCTTGATGTGGGTCTTGATGCAGCAGCTGTTCGAGAGGCCGTTTCAAAAGTCATGCAAAAGAAGGTATTGATATATTTCTTAAAGCACTATTTCTAGAAGCTGTGCTTAGAAAGTAATGAAGTTTAACGTAAGGGTTTGTTGGTGAATCTTGCAGGGAATGTCAGTAATGGTGTTCAGTACTGATGAAAGCACAAACAAGGCGGTTGTGTGTGCGGGAGTTCCAGAAAAATCGGATCAGTTCAAGCAATTAGACGTCACTGAATGGCTTACAACTGCATTGGGTCCTCTAAAAGGGAGATGCGGGAAAGGGAAAAGTGGTCTCGCAACGGGACAGGTATGAGTCATTTTCTCTTTAGTCTCCAATGTAGTTTATATCCACAAAGAAATCTCTAATTCTTCAAGTTGTGTTTGTTTTGGTTTCAGGGAACGGATGCTTCTCAAGTGAATGCAGCTTTGGATATGGCTGCATCGTTTGCATCAATGAAGCTCAATTGATTTGGTCGGGAGATTTAAGTAATCTGTGTCGGCAGAATAATGAATCTCCACTTATTTGAATTATCCACTTATTTGAATTATCACTGTATACAGTTTTTACACATCTTTTAAGAATCTGTTAATTTTCTCATTTCTTGTGATGGAATTTGTGGTATTACTACTCTTCAATCAAATGTTAGCGATTGAGATGTTATGTTCCCCCTTGTGATGTCAATCCGATTCTCGGGTTTGGTCCAATTTGGTGTGGTACCGTGGTTTATCACTTTTCGTATTATTAGTAGATTTTTGGTCCGGTTGGTTTTGGTTTTCATCCGTTGTTGAAAAAAAAATGAACATAAAAATGAACTGATTTTTTTTCTAAAATTTGTTTTAGATTGGGATTGGTTAACTTAAGTGGACATTTTCTAAAATAACAATGAAGTTTGTTGGGTGGATCACAGATTTTTCAGATTCAGAAGAAGAATGGTTTAGATAAAAATCCTTAAGGCAGTGTATAAGTCTTAATTCCCCGTCTGCACAGTTAAAGTATTGGTCAGCGAGCGCTGCTTCAAATCGTCAAAACCTGCGTCAAACAACAAAGTGATCTCTATTATACACTGCACCGACGATTCATGTTTTTTTCTGATAAAATTCAGAAAATTTGGGATTTTTTTGGTCGAAATCTAAAAAAAAAAACAGAAAATTGAACTATTTTTTTTATAATTTGTATTAGATTGGGATTGGTTAAACTTAACTGGACATTTTCTAAAAACAATGAAGATTGTTGGGTAGATCACAGATTTTTCAGATTCAAAAGAAGAATGGTTTAGATAAAAATCATCAAAAGTGCAGATCTTTAAAGTTTGATTAAACTGAAAAATCTATTACTAATAAAAAATAGAAGCTAACAATTACATTATCAATTGGCATTTCTAATTTCGTTAATATATATATATATATATTAGTTATAAATTTATTTCATCTAATATTAGATTTGGTTTTCTTTATAATTTAGAGTAAACTATAAACAAATTTCAAATAATTGTCTAATTTATCAAGTTTAAGGAAGTATGATTAAAATTTTAGATACATATTGTAGTTTTATGAATTTGGAAACGGTCAAATGACTTTGGATCGAAACTGATAAAGTCTTATCTTTATTCGAGTATGTAACAAAAGAGATTGAGTGATTTGACTATCTAGTCGATCAAAATAAATTTGGTTAAAAGTTTTAGTTTTAATAGTTTGGTTAAAAGTTTTGGTTTTAATAATTTGGTTAATGAATTTGTAAAAAAAATATGAGAGAAAATCTGTGTGTTTTAGTAAAAGTTTTGTTGTTTACTATCATTTTTATTTACTTTGGATGATATTAGTTATTACTAGTTTTGTTCGAAATTAGGACAATGATGTTATTTTTTTTTTGTGAATTGTAGTCTTTTTATTTTTATATCGCTTCCGGACTTTATATCGCTAAACACGATTTTGGTATATTTCATCTTTAATGCCAAATAAGTCTCTCGATTCTTGTGACAGCCAAAAATTTTCCATTCAAGCAGAGGGATGATTTATTGTCTTTCCCGACTTCTCTGTAATATCTACTTCCAAATGGAGTCCTAAACCTTCGCATTCATCAAACTTATAACCATCAATGTGCATAATATCTTTGAAACTTGTATGTAGTGCTATGTCAGATGCACTTAAGTCTTCCAATGATATTTTTTGTCATCTAAGAAAAAAAGTGGGTCAAATAGTATACCGATTTGAACTTCGTGCTTCAGAGAGATAAAACAATAATCCGGCCTGCGAATCTAAACAGTTCCAAGTGCTTTTCGTCTCATAGGAAACATGATTCCGAGAAAACCTCTTGAGTTAGTCAGGAGACTGTTTGAATAAGCTTTGACTTGGATCAAACAGCTCGTTGCAAATCATTGAGATCCATTCTCGAAACACAACGTCGCCAACAACATCTTCATTCTTAAACTCCACTGAAATACCACCTTGGAAAAGCAAAGGTTTTGCCTCAGCTTACTTGCTTTACTGATTCTTCGAAGAAGTTTGAACGACCAACCTCAAACTAATAATTCTAATCTTTAATCATGCTGTACTTCTATTAATATAGTTATATATGCAAAACCAAATTAATCTACAACCTCAATAATAAGAAGAAAAAATGATCCGGAGGAAGTAATTCTCACATGGATTAAAATCATGAGATTAAACAAGATTTGATAATGGTTTGAGGTACGTAACTGTGGATCGTGAGCATTTACTGTTCGTAATGGGAGCCTAACTTTAATTTGTAGTTCGTATCATATAAGATACTCCCTTTATGTTCAGAATTATTTGATGTTTAAGGTTTTTGCACACAATTTAAGGATTCATTTAATTTTTATTTTTCCTATACTAAAAATATTATTTATAATTCATTTAAATATCATTCAGCCAATAAGAAAACAATCTACAGAATATAAAAGGTCAAAAACTATAAAAATTCATTAAATTTTGCATTGAAAAGTGAGAACATCAAATAATTCTGAACAAAAAAAACCTTCTAAAACATCAAATAATTCTGAACAGAGGGAGTATCTTGCAATACAGAGTATATAACTAGACATTTGTATTTTTACTATATTGATTTTGGAAGAATATATGTAAAAAAGTATGATGATGACATGATGTCATGGATGAAATGAAACAAAATTTTAAATCTGATAGAGATAATTATGTTATCGTGAACGTTTTACTGTTCACCATGTAACACGGTTTCACATGCATCTTGTAGACTTGTAATAGAACATGATACGCACTTTGCGCGTTGCTCACAAGTTATATATAAATCCAACAAGGCACAGAAATAAAATTATTCGTTTTTCATAAATTGGAAGAAGCAATTAAAATTTTGGTCTTAAACTAGTGCTAAAACCAGCCGTCCTACTAACACAATAGCGGGATTAAAAAAAAAAAAAAAAGACATAAGTTGACTTAATAAGGAGCCCCTAGCCCTTTATAAAGAAAGAGAGATTGTGATTTATTTTGCTTCATTCATATTGCAAACAAAGAAAAGTGAAAGTCCCATGGAACCAAGAAGTAGGTATTCCCATATTTATAAAAATTCCATTGAACGAAGTAGATACTTCCCTCGTTTCAAGCCTGTATGTCGTCTGTCAGATCCAGCAAACCCACACAAACTTTGCCGGCGATCTAATCCTCCACTTTCCGTCTGCTTCGCCTGCAAAGGTCAGCATCTGAATAGACTCAAGTACTATTACTACTGTGCTATTTGTGATTTGGAGTTTCACAGAGGTTGTCACTTGTCTCCTCCGGAAATCAAACACCCTTTTCACCTCCTTCACCCTCTCAACATCAAGATCCCAGATCCTGATTATGATGTCTCTAGTATCCCTAATGATTGGAATTCAGATTCCTCTGATTCAGACTATTTTGAAGTCGGTGGATCTGAAGATGATGAAGACCCTGTATCAGATGGAAACCATGTAAAATGCAACTCTTGTCGGAAAAATCTCTACGGCGAATACTATCATTGTTCTGTCTGCAATTTCAGCCTACACTTTATTTGCGCATTGAATCCACCACCTCTCACTATTGAAAACCTTAAAACACATGATCATACTCTTACCCTCTTTCCTAGACGAGTGCCTTTGCCATGCGATGCTTGTGGCTTCTCTCTTGAAGCTAGTTTTGATCCTGTTTACTCTTGTCTACTTTGTAACTACATGGTCCATAAAAAATGTACCAACTTACCTCGTGTCATTAAGATCACTCGTCATCCACATCGTCTCTCTCACACTTCCTCCCTTGTTCCTTCCTCCTCTGGTGAGTTATTCACTTGTGGAGTTTGTCGTAAACCCGTTGACATCAATTACGGCCAATTCTCTTGCAACAAAGGATGCCACTATGCTGTCCATTCGAAATGTGCAACAAAGTTCCAAGTGTGGGATGGGATAGATCTTGAAGGAGTGCCTGAAGAAGAGGAAGAAGTTCTTGAGCCATTTTTGAGGATCGATGAAGAGACTATACAACATTTCACTCATGACCATCACCACCTGAAGATTCAGGGGAATGACAACCCCAGCAACCATGAAAACAAGTTTTGCCAAGCCTGCATCCTTCCGATGACAGTTTCAGATCGCTTCTATAGCTGCATCGATTGCGATTATGTTCTCCACGAAACATGCGCATCCCTTCCTCGCAAACAATGCCATCCCCTACACAGACACTCGCTCAACCTCTTCCATCTTGACAATCCTCGTCAAGAGCTTGACGAGGCTGAGGAAGAATATTCTTACTCAGGTTTCTTCAAGTGCAATGGTTGTAGCCGACTTTGTTGTGGTTTCATGTACAAGTGCACCGAAAAAGATTGTAAATTTCAACTGGATGCAAGGTGTGCTTCGCTTCCTGATCCTGTAATCCATGATTGCCATCCACATGATCACCCTTTCTTCTTCACTTTGAACCGAGGTGAATGCATTGGTTGCAAGTCTAATCGCGGCCACTCTAGTAAGTATTTGGAATGTATTGAATGCAATTCCTTTTTGTGTCTTTATTGTGCTACTTTGCCTACCGTGGCTCACTACAAGCACGACAAACATCCACTCACTCTTTGCTGCGGAGAAGAAAAGACAAAAGATCTCCCGTATTGGTGCGAGTTTTGTGAATCAAAATTAGATGCAACAAAGTGGTTTTACACGTGCAACTCTTGTAGTGTCACTCTTCATGTTACATGTTTATTGGGAAAGAAGGCCCTCTACATGAAACCAAATCATCTGATCAGGTATCATAGAGATGCTTTTATTAAACGCAACAGTGGTAACTCGAGACCAGTGTGTGATAGATGTAAACGTCGTTGCATAGACACCGTGGTATTCAGGTGGCTTGACAAAAAATATTGTATGGATTGTTTCTCCAACCCATCGATTATCCTGAGCAGTAGTGACGAAGATTTGAGCAGTGACGAAGATTAAGGATCAAGACCTGCCACATGAGTTCTTTGGGTGTGTATAATTTTTTTAATAATAACTAGATTTCAGTGAACTATTTTTAATTTATCAAATTTTGTAATATAATTTGTGTTTTTGTTTTTGTTTAGTTATAATTTTTTAATAAGTAATAAATATTTTTATTTATATATAATTTGTTTCTATTAATTTATTATATATAGTACATATATGATTGCAATTAGAAAAACATTATTTTAACCCATTCGTTCATATTAATTCGAAAAGTACAACGATTATAAAAATGCCATTATAACATATCCATTTATATTAATCCGAAAAGGACCACAACTATTAAAATATAATTCTAATGCGTCTATTCATATTATTTGTATATTTTATATATTTTTAAGTTTGGATATTTAAAATTTTAGACTCATTTAATAAAAATATAGAATAATATATTATTTTTATTTTTGTTATTAAAAATATTATTTAAATTTAAATATTTTAAATTAAATCTAAATTCATATCCAAGTTATTATTTTTGTAGAAATATAATAATAACTTATTTTATGATTTTTGATAAACAACATAACCTTTATTTAAGAAAATTTATGACAAATCTAAATTTAATATTTAAAATTTATTTTAAAATATAAAATAAAAAAATATATTATTTTATTAATATTACATTAAATTGAATTGTTTGGTAACATAAATAAGAGTTATCCAAAAATAGAATAGTAGAAAATTAAAGTAAAATCTGTTTGAACACAAAACATGCTTCTTTTTTAATAGTATAGATTTCAATTTTATTTCTTAATTTGTCTTAATTAATGCCAATACACACACGTTATAGGAAGGAGTGTGGAAGGGAAAACAGCCAATTCCTACCTCAAGTGTTCCAAATGGTGCAGATTCATACCTGACAAATTACTTGCCCGAATTCATATCCGAATTCCTAAAAATCGGATAATTCATACATGAACTAATAATGTTTTGGCAAATAAAGACATTGACATGTGTCCCGTTAGTCAACGATTTCATTTTGTTAACGGACCATAATCTCGTGCCACGTAGACTGCATTGCTGGCATTGGAGGTTAAAACGACGTCATTTTAAATATTTGAAAAAAAAAATTGAACAAAACAACGTCGTTTTAACATTCAAGAACAAAATTTTGTTTTTATCAAATCCACGTCGTTTAAATTAATAAGACCAAAAAAAATAACAATACAACGTCGTTTTAATTAATGATAACCAAAAAAATAACAAGGATTCTTTCGTCGATTTGAGAAAAGAGAGCCCAAACTAGGGTTTGGGATTCATAGAAAATCAGAGTATAGATTCTTGAAATCGACGGAAATAGAAGATAAGACGATTTCAACTCTGGAGATACAAGAAATCTTATGGGTCTGAGAAAAATGAGATAATTTGACATTTATGGCTTTTAATTGTGGGGAAAATTTTCCAATTTTTTATAGATTTTGAATTGTTTAATCGTTTTTCAGTAATAGTTTAATTCTAAATGAATTGTTTAATGGTTGCAGTGATATAACGGATTGCATATTTCTCATAAACCATGGGGAAAGTTTGAGAAATTTTCAACCGGCATTCTCCATTACCTAAGTGGCTGTTCTTTTCTAATTTTGAGATAGAGTTCGGGGAAGAAGCAGATTTAGTTCTTTATGTTTTTTTTTTAAAACAAAACAACATCGTTTCGTTTATTTTTTTTGTTAGTAAATGTTAAAACGATATCGTTTAACCTCTAGTGTCAACAATGCAGTCTACGTGGCACAGTACTACGGTCCGTTAACAAAATGAGATCGTTGACTAACGGGAAACATGTAAATGTCTTTATTCACCAAAATATTATTAGTACAGATATGAATTATCTGATTTTTAGGAGTTTGGGTATGAATTCAGGCAAGTAAAATTTTCAGGTATGAATCCGCACCATTTAGAACAGTTAAGGTAGGAATTGGCCCTTTTTCCGAGCGTGGAATTGAAATTCTGATATTTATTTATTGGAAGAATACATTATCTGTAAGGGCAGAATAATAATGTATACTTATTTATTTATCACTGTATACAACTACAGTTTAAAATGTGATTCATTGTGATGGAATTTGTAGTATTACTCTTCAGTCAAAGTTAGTGATTGAGATGTTATAATCCCTTGAGATGGCAATCAAATTTTCGGTTTGGTTCAAATGGTTTATTACTGTGCTAAATTATTTTTCTTGGTTTGTTATGGTTTCCGCTCAGAATTTGGTTTATCATTTTTTCTCGAAGTGCTCACTCGTTTTAAATATCAAGATTGAGACAAAACATAGTTATAATTCTTACGATGAGGAGATTATGGAGGCCGACAGTTATGAGATATGAGATGTCAGAGAACTTAGTCAAATAGAAGCCCCAACCAGACCAATTGTGTACAATCCTCCAAAAGTGCAAGTAGTCCAGCCAGCTAAGACCATCTATAATGGTTATGTTATATTTCACTCTAAATATCGAGTTCTTTTAAAATTGAGATAGGGTTTACTTATATATTTTAGGGAAAAAACCTTTTAAAAACCCGACGTTTATAACATTTGCTATAAAAATACCTGAACTATTTTCGTTGCTTGAAAAATACCTAACGTTATTTTGACTACCATTTTAATACCCAAACATTCAAAAATCAAAAGTTTCATCCCTCGACTTAAACTCATTTAAATCTTTAAACGGAATCTGTTAAGCACTGTTTAATCCTTAATCTCCTACGTGTTTTTTTTCCATTCGAAAAGACCATTGTTGCCCTTAAAATCGATTTTTTCCTTTTTAAGTTCTTCCCCAATTTGAAGAACCCTAATTCTCTTCTAACATCTATCGCTTCTTTTGATTACTTCACACCAGAATGGAAAACTCAATCTCGTCTGCAAGCTCTACGCCCAGATGGAAGGTCCCCTTTGTCACTGCAAACAACCGACGGTCATGGTGAAATCATGGACAGATGATAATCCTGGTAGAAGATTTTTCAAATGTAATACACATGGTTTCTTCATCTGGGCTGACAAAGAACCCTAAATTGTAAACCCCACATCTCTAAACAAGCTAATCGGGACATACAACAGACTAAATCGAACCTAATCGACACAATTTACAACTCTAAACATCCCGACATCAAAATTTGAAACACATACTTCATCTTTCCTTCGAGTCTCGAGTCTTCTACAGTGAGGTGAAGAATGAGAACAATTGGGTGAATAAATGTCGATAGGAGAGTCGATACAAAAGATCAATTTTGGGAGAGACGACGTTTACGGATTAGGGTTTAGATTTGGGGAAAATCGATTGGAGTTTAATTTGGGGAAAATGATTTAGGATTCTTCGATAATTTGGGGGAAATTGGATTACGAGAAAGGGCAACAATGGTCTTTTCGAATGGAAAAAAACACGTGAGGGATTAAGGACTAAATCTGTTTAACGATTTAAATGAGTTTAAGTCTGAGGGATGAAACTTTCGATTTTTGAATGTTTGGGTATTAAAATGGTAATCTAAATAACGTTAGGTATTTTTCAGACAACGAAAATAGTTCAGGTATTTTTATAGCAAATGTTATAAACGTCGGGTTTTTAAAAGGTTTTTTCCCTATATTTTACTCTAAATATTTACATTTTGAAAACATGATTTCATTATTTTTTTACAATTCATATTATTCTACAAATTTTCATGTTTTCACGTTTATCTAAAAAAACATGATTAAAATTTTACTAAAACTAACTTTCAACATCTTGTAATTATTCCGTGAATTTTTTATTTCAGTTCAATTATTTCCGCTAATAATTTTTCATTTAGTCTGTTATTTTGATATATATGATTCGCCTACCTAGCCTTGTAACCACATCTCTTTAAAATGCCTTGTTTTATGTTAAAAAATTGTCTAATATTTTATGATAAACTATGAATTAATTTGCACTGTAGCACAGAACAATTATTTTATTTTAAATAATATATTTTTAAAAAAATTTCTCAATTTTTAATAAATGTTGCATAATTGTAGAATATTAAATGTTGCATAATTTTAGAATACAATATTACGTTTTTGTAGAATGAAAATATAATTTGGACAACTATATAATTTTTTTTGAATTTAATTATTAATAAATTGTTATTATTTTATTCAATAAATTAAATTATTATAAACTAAAAGTTGTGAAAGTGAATAGTGTTAACATATTTGTATATTTATTTTTTATTAATGTGTTTTTTATGAAAAATATGTGGTATATTCATATTTTTTATGTCAATTTTTGGTAAAAAGAACTGAAAAAATATTTTAGTATATAATCAAGTAAAAATAGTAAATTATAGTAAAAAAATATTTCACTAGTTTTTTAACATCATAAGTTTTAATCTTCACTTTTCATATTATTTAATTGAGAAATTTTTTATTTTCACGTTTTTATTTAATTAAATATACTATATGATATCATTTGAAACAAAAAAAATCTAATAAATTATTAGATTTAAATTCAGAAATTAAATAGTAAATATATTCTATTAAATGATAAATAAAGATTTTTCATATTTTTTTTCAATAGATTTAAAAGATAATTATGTCTTTTTCTATTTTAATTATGCTTTGTTATTTATAATAGTATATCATATAATAATTTATAAAATAAAAGTTATTTTTTAAATAACTGCTTAAATAATAATATAGAGATATGTCATTCTGTGATTTACCATTTTTAAAAATAATTATTTATCTAAAACAGAGAACATAAAAATCATAAAAACTGTAGAAAATATGTTTTTCTTCAAAACCCCATGCCGTGTTCTCTGGTCCAACTAACCTTAAAATACATAAATGTAACTTCAACTCGATATTAAAAAATCATCTAATGTATAGATATTTATTTTTTCATAAAATATAGATTATTATTCATATAAATTTTATTCAAAAAGATTGCACGTCAGGTTTTGAATTTATTTTTAAACAGAACGTCAAAATGCCAAAAAATTCTCGTATTTATATACAGTAAAAACTCTATAAATTAATAATGTTGGGACTTTGATATTTTATTAATT